AGAACGACTAACTCTTCCCCGCCACGAAGGAGGCCGCGGACTGATCGACATCAGCAGGTTTTGTCAGAAACAAACGCATAAATAAACAAAAATATTTCTATAAACAGTACACCGGCCTCTACAATGCAATAAAAAGTCAGATAACAGGTACACACCCTTAGACCTGCTACATGATAGCACAGAACTAGTCTCGGATGAAACATATATCCAAGGAAAAAAAGAGAACTGGACTTCAAAACCCCTCCATGGTCGACATGCAAGTATCCTCAGCCAGCCTTATGTCGACACAAACGCATCGTATGGATTGTTGGGACGTGCTGACATATTTGAAGAGACAGAGGAATTTATGATAGCCATCCAAGACCAGGTTACAGCTACTAAAAACTACCGTAAGTACATAATAAGGGCACAAGTGGAGGATGACTTATGTACAAAGTGTCACCAACAACCCGAGACCATCCAACATATAACAAGTCCTTGCCAAACCATGGTACCGATAGAACATCTGAATAGAGATAATCAGATAGCTAAGATTGTTCATCAAAGCCTGGCTCGAAGAGGTGCCTATTATCGGTACGAAACTAAACCTGCCTTGGAAAATATAACCTCCTAAACGAAAGAGGTGCCTATTATCGGTACGAATCTAAACCTGTCTTGGAAAATCATATCCACAAGTTGTACTGTAGACGTGTAGAAATAATAATTAAAGAAAATAACGTGTGTTTAAATTCTGGCTTTCCAAGCTTCCGGCAACAAGGCGCAGTAGCCACTACCTAGTTCTTTCTCTGTGCGCGTCTGGAAAGGCATATAAAAGAAAGAAAAAGTCTGGCGTGTATGTGTGTGGCTGTGTGGGATACGAATTATTACCGATTTTCCTCTATATCTAGTCTCTCTTTCTAAAAGCACCATCATAAGGAGATCGGAGTATGATGATGAGACCCGCTCTCACTTTGCGTGTTCTGAAAATTTAAATTGCTTTATTACTTGTTTCCATAGAACTGAATGTGGACAGCTTGGATTTTTTAAACAGTTTATTGAGTCAAATAACGATTTTGTAGGCCTTACCTAGCAAAATGGCAAACTGAACTAAAATACTTTATTATAAAGAAAGAGTCCCTTTTTTCTGCATTTCTCGACACGTATTTCCTTTTTCAACCATCTGCTATTTGTTTTCAGGACTCATAGGGCTCAAGCCTGGCAGCCCTGTAGTTCTCGTAGCTTAAAATTATTTGTGAAAAGATTTTCTGATATCATAGATTTCCAAAAAGGGGAGTTAATTTCTTTTTTGATTTTTCATAACTCACAAGTTTAAGATATACACATACAGGGTGGCCAGACAAAACGTACTATTATCAGGAACTGATTCAACATTTTAGACACACGCTCAGACCAGTCAAATTTTTTTGAAAGAGGGTCATCGTGATTTATTTCGTTGGAAAAGTTTGTATTTCTTAACATTAGAGCTATGCCAGATTGTTCAATTATGTAAGTTATTATTTAATTCAATTACGTTTTAGTATGTTGTACACTAAAGTAATAATAAAATTAGCTTTCAAATATAGTTTTTATCCAGATGGAGAGCGCTAGTGAATGAATGAACGCAATGAATAGTTATATTGTTGAATTCCTCATAAAATTACCTTTTCAGTGATGTCTCATACTTGATACTTTCCCTATTTAAATTGTGTTAGTCACAGCGACGAAAGGGATGTGAATTACTTATGATACTTAAAAATGAGAATATGATGTCCTTATTTAATAAAAAATTGACAGGTCTGAGCATTTGTCTAAAATGCTGACGCGGTTGCTGATAATGGCTCTGGTACGTTTTTGTCTGTCCACCCTGTATAATCATTACCTACGTGACAAATGTTTGGGCATTGTACAATTATTTTATCACTATTAATGAGGTAAGCGCTGTGATTATTTTCTTTTTTGTATTTTTTTTTATGATGCAAGTCTGCGAATCATTTTTGGCACTACAAAAATATAAATTGATTTAGGATATATGTTTTTATACGCTTTGTATTTATCTACGTTTCCATCCGCATCTTCACGACATGTGAGAAAGAGATAATAAAGGTATATTTTTTTTAAACGAACTTCCTATACTTTTTTATTAGAAATGGAATAAGGTAAATTTTCCTACATGTTTATATCAAATTAGTTATAAAAAATGTTCTTAGTTGTGTTCATATCTGCAAAAAACAGTGTTGGCTGCACGCATTACTTTAATGATGGTCTTTGAGGAAACAACGTAGGCTTTGTAACATATCACATCAGCTAGCCACCGATATTATTATCCCCATCATTTTTATCCTAACCCAAAAAATTAACTTTTCAATGTTTTAAGCACTAAAATTAAATCTTCAATAGCTTGAGATAACTCATGTATTATTTTATAAAAAAAAGTTAAATAATGCTGCTATTATATTAATTAGTGATCATCATGAAAGGAACAGGATAAATTTAAAAGTTTTTTAATATTTTTGCACAAACAGTCCACACCTGATTAATTCGGGATACAACGACACTATTGGTATTTGTTCAGGCATTTTGTTTATTTTCGTTTTCCAATAAATATCTCAGTAAGTGTTTTTTGGGTCGGGTATCGCTAGAATTAATATATAAATGAGACGGAACCGTGTTATTTTCGTCTCTATTTTCGTTTCTCAGGATACACACACATCGGGAATTAACACCCAGTCATGTGTTTTTTTAATTGATTTTTCTCTCAAAAAAGACGCCGTCCACGAACGTACTGCAAATTATTTTCACCAGGTTACCATCTAGAATAAATAAATATACACTATACAGGTATTATGTATTATTAATACCTAACAGTATAAAACTGAAGCGAACTTCTATTACGGCTGAGTAGACTTTGGAAAGGCTTTAGACAAACCGGTGACATTTTTTGCTTATTTTTTTTTTCTCGCAGAACATCCAATGAATATTCTTAATATTGTACAAACTTGTCCACTTTTAAATGAACAATTTAATTTTAATTTATTCTACTGAATGCATTGTTAGTTGGAGATATGCTCATCATATGTTTATTATTTGTTATAACATACACTACACATTACTTCTTTATTCGTTCTTCTTCCGTCCTTTTCCCTTCCGTCAACACTTCTGATTTCCAATTTAATACTCTCTGTTTCACTCATTTTACATCTGTATATATTGAAATTTTCCTTATTAGTGTAATACAAAGATTTTGTCTTGTTTTTCTTTCTACTTTCCATCTTTATTATTATTCTTATTACCTTTGTATCCATCCTGAATTTTTGATCTATCTCTTTCACTTTGTATTTGATGTATATTTCTATAAATATTATTTATTTCCTTAATTATTTTCTGTACAATTTCATAATTTTTTCTTTTCGTTTATTATATATTATAGCATAACTCCTTTTGTGTGTCGAATTCCTCAATCTTCGACTAAAATATGTATTTAGGAAGTCTTATAATTGTTCTTCCGCCTTTTTATTGTTACGCCACTGATTTGTGGTTCTCGGTGACGTCTCAGAAGTTATTCATGATGATATATATCGAAAACAAGTCGATTCTAAAGTGAATAATCACCAGAAAATGATAAGTGGACGACAGATTTAACTATTTTTGTCAAGAATGTCAGTTTACCGGGATCATCTCTTTGGCACTGTTTCACTACTGTCTTCTGTAGACGGGTCGATAATAATTATACGGTGAATATTAAAAAAAAAGAGGTGTTAATATTTGGTACCTACTTGGAAGATTCTTTTACCATGCAACCTTTAATGATTATATGTTTTTCATTTTTCAAATATTGTACTTTATTTGATTTTTTCCACCTTTTTAAAATATTTTGTAATTTTTCTCAAAGCCATCTTCCTGAAAGTTTTCCAGATCCATCGGATGGTCATACGTTCAAACCTGCTTCTGATTTTGTTAAATGCCTGAATGGTACAAAGTGACATAGAAAATTAGTAATTCAAATCAAGTGACAATAAGAACGTTTCATGTTTAAGTTCCTTGAAATTCAAATCCAAAATAAAATCAATGGTTCGGAAAAGTTGTTAAATAGAGAATTGTTAGAAAAAAAAATCGTGGAGAATAGAATTTTTGTCAGGGCAAGAAATAAAGCAAAAAGCAGAAAGTTAACATTACATTTTAATAATATGTGAATTATGAAGAAAGTTAATAAATAAATAGGTTAAGGGTAACTTACAGTAAACCAGGCGTTGCGAAAATTGCAAGAGGAGAGTAAGTTGCACCAGCAGAGGCAGGGAAGCAGGAAACTAGAGGAGGAACAAAATAAAATAAGATAGACCAGGAAGAAAGTGATGAGAGACAGATCCAGCAGAGCAGCTAAATAACAAAGAAGAGGGCAAAGATAATACATAACAAATTAATAAATTAATGTTGTAATTATTTTTAATAAATTTGAAATATTTTTAACAGTTGAACCACACTTCGTGAGATTAACCAATTAATTGATTGGAAATTGGATGATTAAAAGAATGCTATCTCCATATCGAACATCTAGTGTCATAACATCATTCATGCATATATATTAGAAAGTGACTTTTTGTCACAAAAATGAGTAATCTGCCTTTGTATCCGGTGCATCAATCTCGTAAATATACCATAATGAATGAACCAATAATAAATAATTTTACTTTTATTACCTTTCAGTATCGATGAAGAAAAAAAACTTTCAAATAGCTCTCCCTTATAAAAAATATATTTTTGCACTTACGACGTTGTTGCACCGGATTGGCTTCATATGTAGTGACTTTCAGCGTTTTTTGGCGTGTAACTGTGCTTATCATTTTCAAAGCACTGAGTCATGAACAAGTATAATATTCTAGTTTTATACTTTAACGTTTGTTATTAAACTGTCATGTAAACTGACAGCAATTCATTTGGGTTTTGAAAATAATTTCCATAAATCTAATCTTAATCGCAAACAGTTAGATTGTATACGTGTTTCATTCAATAATTTTGATCATTAGGATTCGGTACAAACCGTGCCTGGAAATATAAAGTTAACAATGTTCACCATTACCTTCGCCACTGGTAAAATAAAAAAATTTATTTATTTATTTAATTCAAATTCGGTACTGCTCAAATTTGGAAAAGTCGTGGATGCCAGATTAAGCTTCTTTCATATGAATAGCGGGCGAAATCCATCCCTGTTTTAACACAAAAATGAAAGGATAATAAAGGTAATAAGAGAACATGATGGGCAGGAGAAATAAAAGATAATAAAGACGAAATGTAAAATTTGGGCAGTGCACGGTGCTATCGCGAAACCAAAAGGGATCTGAAGGGCAAGTAGAGGCTATCCTTTTTCACTAGATTTTAAAAGGGTTGCTTACGCGAAGGGTTCTCAATAACGAATAATGAATTGTGAATATTTTACTCTGAAATTCGATATTGTATTGTATGAAATCGTCCTCTATACATATATAGGTAGCAAGATTGGTAGCACGGGTTGATATGAGATATATTGAAAATGAAGATTTTATAATAAAATATGATGTGGGTGCTTACTTTGAAAGTATTGTTAATGACAACAATGACTGAAGTAGGGCAAAATGGTATTAATTTTAAATAAATCAATGAATAAGAGATTTCGAATATATATGTTATCAAAGTAGAAGGAATTATTACACTAAAAGTAATTTTTATGAATTATGGTTGACGTCTACAATTTAATCTCTTTAGAATATAAATGGATTTTGTGGATGTTCTTTTTGAAAATATGGGTAATTGTTAAGAAAGTAGATTTATAAAACCGCGGGCATATCTGTCAGTTGACGCTGAAGCTAGTTCCGATATATTTTCAAAAAATTTTAATGATTGCACTTTTAACAACTTTAGTTATTGACGATAAAAGTCGTCCTTGCGCTATAATCAGACAAGTACCTCTTGATCAATATTTTCCCTACATCCCATTGTTCTAGAGAACTAGGTACCATAGCGATATTTGATCTTGTTTACTAAGTGCAGATGGCATTTTAATTTTTTACTCGTTGACTACCTACACTTTCTCAACCACCTTTAAAGTATACGAGTGAAGGTGATATATCTAGCAGACTGCATTGATGTCGAGATTATCTAAATATTGCTGATGAATCCTAATAAGGATAAAACCAATCCAGCAAAATCAGAGTGTTGAAAATTATTTTCTATGTGCTGTTTCCCTTCTGAAATAATGCAATGCCAATTGCGGCTAGCCAAGGGAGTAGTTATTTTAAGGAGAAAAATGGTCGCTCGACTGTGATACGAATTTTGAGATGTTTTGTTATTCACTGGTTTTTTATTAATAACTTCAGTAGTAAGCCTAAAACAATACCACTGACCTATTTGACAGTACTAAGAACGGCCATATTAAATAAATTTCTTGGCTTACCAGATACGGGTATTGTTGACGAATCTTTGTATGTATAAGAATTTTTCAAATAAAAGTTACTTCTAATATTATTCTCTATAATTTTTGGCGTTTACAAAATTTTCCTAAAATGGTGCGTATTCGACAAAATGTGAAAAATTTAAATTTTTAAGAAAAATTTTTTAAATAGAAGTTGTTTGTGACGTCATTCTCTATAATTCGTATCTTATACATAATTTCTGTAAAATGGACCGTATTCGATATATTTGATGAAAAGTGTAAATTTTTATTTTTGAAGCAAACTCAAAAACCCATAAGCGGATAAATAGAAAAACAAATTATAGAAGGTCATTTTTATACTTTATGGAATATATCTGTTATTTACACTTGGAGAAGAAAATTCTTTAAATAAAAAATCCTTTAATGTTATTCTCTATAATTTTTGTCATATCCATAATTTTCTTAAAATAGTCCGTATTCGAGTAATTTTTAAGAAAATTGTTAAACTAAAAGTTGTTTGCGATATCTATCTCTATAATTGTTGTTTCATACAGTAAGATTACAGGGTGATAAAATAGGTTGTACAAAATAACCAGAAAAAGTCTGTAAAAACTAGCCAATAGCAAACTAACGTTCATATTATAAATTATCATTATGAACAACCCGAAATCAATCATTAAAATGCAAAATTTTTATCAAAAAATAAACATGCGGCGATTACGATTTATGTCATCAATTAACGTGATTTGGCGTATTGATCGTCCTCTAAAACTTATCTGTTTTATATTATTAATTTAATCGTAATAGGATACTTCCTATAAATATACCCATTATTAGTTACATCAAAAATTATTTTTAAATCACCCTCAATTAATAGCGATATTTATTAATATCGAATTGATATGAAAACAAGGAACACATTGAAATTTGACACAGTTTTTTTCCGATCTAAAACAAAGCGTTTTAGCACGATTATCATTATTTAGAAAGAGTATTAGGATAAACAACCAGATATGCATGAGGTTATCAAATTTCGATATATTTAAAAAATTGATTTTTATTCATTAGTTCGACAGTTTTGGAGACCGTCGGTATAGGTCAGCAAATTCGGTGAGTTTTTTAGTTTTTCAGTTTTCTAGTTTTTCAGTTTTTTAGTTTATTAGTTTTTTACTTTTAAGCAAAATAGGTAAAATAGGCAATATATAGTCAAAAAAAAAGGTTAAGGCCACATGTGTAAGACTTAATTTTCCTTTTTTCAACGTGTGCAATAATTTTGTTTAGAAATATCTGTGAAATTAACATACGGTAATATGGCGCTTGGTAATGGTAATATGAGTCACACAACTTTATAAATAAGTTTTGTCAATGGCAATTTTAAAATAAAAATTAGACGATAATAAACTTCAACAATAGTTTAAACCATTTCGCACGGCCTTTTTATTCATCCCGACTTACTGATATCCCTTCTAATTATGACGAATACATCTGGGGTTGCAAAAAACAAAGGATCCCTTCTTGCGAGGCGCATTAAAACAAATTAAGATCTCTAGCTATATCCCCATGAGTGTCATCCTTATAGATTGAATCAAAATGGCAGACATCGGCGATGCTTCGCATAATTGGTTCCAGAGGCTTTAAATCTGGAATTAGTCGGGATTCGGGATGATTTCGGATCCGATGGTAAGGTGAATGGAGGTGATAGAATGAAATTGAGAGGAAAGTTATGTTTATAATTTCTGGTAAATGGAACGGTATCGAACCCAATCGCGGTGGTAAAATTTTACTTTGTTCTTAGAGGGGATATAAGATGTGCGTAATTGTTACGGCGCTGAGGCATGGTATTTTCAACTAATTTATTTTAAATTTAAAAAGGAAATTCATAATTGAATAAGAAATGAAAAGTTTTAAAATCCCCTCTCGGTGGGAATCGAATCCACGATCTTTGGTCGGCCGTACCGACATCCTAAGTACTAGATCACAGGAGCGTATGGAACTGCGATCTAGCATTTAATTAATTTGAGATGTAAAATTTAATTCCATTTCCGTTTTTGGGACTTTTCCGACTTATCTTCAGCCATCTTTGCGACAATAATGAAGAGTCACTCTTTATTATTTATAACAGTTTATTCTACTTTTCACACTTATATGTATTCAAGTAATATATTATAAAATTTATGAGTTAAAATTTCGGTTGAGGATTTCTAGAATAAAGAACGTCCATTAAACGTTATCAGGTGTCCAATCATTCCGCGCCATTATCAAATAATCAAACATAACAATTTTCTCGAGTTATAATTCTTAGACGACATTTTTACGACGATCTCTGGCAGCAAATAACAGAAGCGAACGCTAATTTAGGCACTCTATATACAGGTTGCGCATCTTTAGAGTGATTAACAATGTTTCTGTAACGCGTCGTTACCCTTCAACGATTTCGCCGAGTGCTTCAATTTTTTTTATTTCAAACCATTGTTCACATATGAATGACGAACGTAAAAAAGAAAACCGAATACGTTATGCTGTGTATTCGTAACCTTGAAATGTATGAAATGGATTTCAATAACAACGAAAATTTGATAAACAATAATCTGTCACTTAACAAAACCATGAAGTCTCGTTTAGTACTTCCAATTTGGCCACTTCCTGGACAACTACAGCCTAGAGTGACGTGGTCTGCAAGTATTTGGTTCAGGTTTTACACTAGATAATTATCCTTCTTTCCAGAAGGTAATATGTCACGTCAAAGAAGACTTGCAGTTACTGCTACAGTTGCTGCTGCTGTTGCATTTGTGGATATTGGTGTTGCTGCTACTAGTGCTGTTGCTGCTAATGTTGTTATTGCAGATGTTGCTATTGCTGTTGCTGCAAGTGATGCTGAAAATGTCTACCTAAGTCTCATTTAAAAGAAAAACTTGAATTTCGTGAATTTTTTTAGCCTTGACCACGTGCATGTTTTAGCGTTTTTCGTTTATATAACCGTTATTTACATTTGAAAAAGAAAATTGTTTAAATAAAAGTTACTTCCTATATTATTTTCTATAATTTCTACCTCATACAAAATTTTCCTAAAATGGTCCGTATTCGAGAAATTTGACAAAATGTTCAAAATTCTGATTTTTAAGAAATCTGTTAAAACTAGAAGTAGTTTGCGATATGGATCTCTATAATTTTTGTTATATACATGATTTCTCTAGGATAGACCGTAATGAAAAAATTGGAGGAAAAGTGTTAAATTTTAATTTTTCAGTATTTTTGTTGGCAATGAATATATATAAAATAATGTTTCGAGTTAAAAGTATGTGGAAAATGTATATATTTGGTTTATTCTCTAAACATTTACAGAGGCGCTACAATAGGTTGTACAAAATAACCGGAAAAAGCATGTAATAACTAGATAGGAAAGTCATGTGTTGGACACATCAGATTTTTATTCCTGTATTTCTTTTTTGAGAAGATTCTGAATTTTTCAGAATTTTTTGTTTACATCAATTAGGAAATGGTATCGATATTGTGGGTCATGGTTTTAGAATATTCCAGCTAATTCTCGTAGCAGAGTGGAGTGCCAAAATTACTGATGGTTGAATCCTTAAAAATGAAAAAGCAAGCGCATATATAACCAAAACTGAGTTATTTCTTCTTTCATTTACCTGTTTCTTCTTTCTATCCTTTCATTATTTAAGATAAAATCGCTTGCTAAAACACTAGTTAAACTTTTGTGGCAAAAAAATAAATGGCCTTCTTTTTATTAAGATGGAAATTAATCTTTAACGTGAATATTTTACACCAAAAAAATGTATTTAAAAACCAATATAGGCAAATTATTTCAAGGAAAGTAACAAAATACCCATTTTACCAGTTCGTTTACCAAATCCTTATTTTATTAAAAAAAATTAATAAAATTAAATAATTTAAAAAACAAAAATATTTTATTTGAAATTGAAACCATCAATTTTAACATAAATGATTTAATTGACGCAAATACTCAAAGTTTTATTTTAAGAATGTACGATGAAATACATTTAAATTTTATAGAGGGAAAATTTCTGTTAGCGATTTGTCGTTTTTAAAATTACCTGATATTTAGCAAATTATTCCACATTTCATTTTATTAACGTTATTAAATGCGAATCAACCAATCAGAAACTGATTTGATCTTGTACGTTTACATTGGTTTTACGTTAATAATGATTTGATATCTTGTGATAGCGATCTGGGTATTGAATTGATAAGAAAAAAATATATTACATTTTATTAAATGTTTAATGAGTTTATTAGATTGCTCTATTGGTTGGGATTTAAATGAAATTTTCTATGAAACATAAAATTGATTAGAACCGTCATGATATATTTAATTTTTTTTGATAAACTAATTGTTGAGGGAAAAACTATTTTATCCCATTTCTACTGGTAATAATCAATCATTTAAACTTAAACATATCTATTCAAAAAACCGGAATGCCACAAAGAGATTATAAACTAACGACCTTGATTGTTAATTATTATATCGGTGTGTTTCTGTTTCTGTGTGCGATAGACTGTAAAGTAATATTGTTTCTTCCAAATGCTAGGTATACATGGTGTTAATACAAAACAGTTTTTCATATGAATTAAATCATTTTCTTTCAACACAGCGATCTGTCTTTTAATTAGTTGTACTTTGATGTGACATTCATGATTTTTTAAAGAATTTTCCCAAAATTGTACTGATTTTGGTAGTCTAAGCTAGCTTCTCAGAAACTATCGATAGGTATTTACTCCAGTAAGATTTATATCAAACTAAATAGATTTCGATTTTCTACGATATTTTTGACACGACCAAATGTGGCATTTTTTGCGAATAAAAAACAGTTTATTTGATTAGACATAATAATTGCGCTCCTAGCGTCGTAGTTAGGAACTTGAAGATAATTTCAAGCGGTTTCACTTTCGTTAAAAAAAAAAGAATTCTCAGATCTGATCTGTACGATGGACGGTTATAGATATGGCCGCCGTCCTTTTTTATTTGGACACCTGGTACATGTATATAGACATATCCCACGGATAATTTTTAAAAGTAATTTATTATACTAGTTTTAGTAATCCATTAAATAAATATATAATTCATAATTATGGCGGCAATAAAAGCTAATTATTAGAGAATTACATTCAGATTATTTATTGTCTAATTAGCAATTTTTAAAATAACTACGTACTTTCAAGTTTAATTGACCCAAGAATCATGTTTCTCAATCCAATAGAAAATAAAACAGTTTTTATAGTAATAAACTACATATTAGATATTTTATTATATAAGTATTAGTAGTAATAGTGCAAAAAAGTTTGAGAATATTGCACTTAAAAAAAATTAATTTATTTTTTTTTTCATGAGCAATAATAGGCAATATTCTCAAACTTTTTTTGCACTATGTACAGGCTGTCCCGAAATTAGACAGTTATATTTTAACAGCGCAATCTAAATTTTAAAATAGAAGTAAAAGTTCATATAACATAGGTCCGAAAACGTTTCGTTTTCGAGATATAAGTGAAGTCCTGATCGCACATTTTTGTAAATATTTTCTAAAATTTCTATAGTCACCGGTTTTCCAAAGTAAAAAAAATAAATTTTCTGATTCCACAGGCCTACTAATTATTATTTAAACTTTCGAATAAGATAACATCAACGTTTCAAGAAATTTTCAAATGCTTCTCTCTTGAAAATGGTTGCGCCCTAGCGAGATATAACAAAAGTAGCTTTATTATAAAGAAAATATTGGGTTTCCAAATTTTGTAGTCAAACATGTTAAAAGCAGTCACCAAAAAAACTTAGGACAATTTAACCCTTAAGCCCCTCCTCTAATTTACCGGCGTTTAGTCCATTATTTAATGTAAAACGTTTAGCATTTGTACCAAATTTCACTTAGTTGTCTTTAAAAGTAATAAATAAAAATATTTACAAAAATGTGTCATCAGGACTTCACTTTTAACACCCTGTATCTCGGAAACAAAACGTTTTCGGACCTATGTTTATATAAACTTTTACTTTTATTTTAGGATGTAGATCACGCTGTTAAAACATGACCGTCTAATTTCGGGACACCTTGTATATTGGGCTGGGTTCCCTTCACAGTGGTTTCGCTAGATACCGGGTAGCAATGCCCTATTCCTAAAGGTTGGGGGGGGGGGCGTCTCTTCAAGCCATTCTTTCTTCTGGTTTCAAAATATATGTCAAAAATAATTTTCGCAGGCCACCTTTCAGGTAAAAGTACATAATTTCATTTTAATTCCACAAAATAATAGCATTTCGTTAGCACACGTTTGCCCATCAAACAGTTTTTTGACAAAAGATAATAAAAACATTTTTTTACCAAAATGCAATATGGTAATTGTATTAGGTAATGATTCGTTAGTCAATTTTTTAGTTTTTGCAATTAATATTCCGTTCTTTGAGAAAAAAAATAAAATTAAATAAGAGTCGGATGATAATTTTACTATTAGTACTTTTATAGGTGTTATTTCTTATAAAAAGATGGCAAATATCGAAATAATGAAAAACTAATTGTGAGAATACATTCCTTAGGGACAATTATTTTGACATCATTTCATTGTTTGCCCATCTTTTTATTACAAAAAATGAACACTTATAAATACACTAATATTGCAGTGTGTCCAACACAAGACTTTCCTGTCTAGTTGTTATAGGCTTCAGACTTTTCCCGCTTATTTTGTACAACCTATTTTATCACCCCTGTAAATGTTTAGAGGATGAACTAAATATATGCATTTTTCACACACATCTTACTCGAAGCATTTTTTATATATTCTTTGCCAATGAAAATACCGAAAAATTAAATTATTTAACTTTTCCTCAAAATGTTCCATTACGGTCCATGTTAGAGAAATCATGGTAAGTATAAAAAATTATAGAGAATGATAATGCACGCAATTTTTTTTTAAAGATTTTTCTTCTCCAATCGTAAACAACAGAGATATTCCTGAAAGTTAAAAAAAAACGGCACCTTATGAAGTACCTCCCCAGGTGCTTTGAGTATGCCCAAAATTTAATCAGCTCACCGCAGGATAAATTAAAGCTTCAGTTTAAAATTTTGTGTTTTCCTCTTTATCCATTTTTGAGTTATTCTCAAAATTCCAAATTTGTAATTTTCCTCAAATATCTCGAATACGGTTTATTTCAGGAATATCATGTATAGAATAAGAATTATAGAGAATGACATCACACGCCTTTTTATTTGAACAATTTGAACTTAAAAATTCGAATTTTGCAAATTGTGTTAAATTTATTGAATACGGACCATTTTAGGAAAATTTTGTAAATAACAAAAATTATAGAGGATGACATCAGAAGCAACTTTTATTTGACTAATTTTCCCAAACGTAAATAACAGAAGATATATTCCATAGTAGAAAAACAACGCCCTATAAAGTAACCCTACATGTTCCGACTATGGCGCAGTATGAACTAAACTTTTAGTTTATAATTTAGTGTTCTTCTGTTTATCCGTTCATGAGTTATCGAATATTCAAACAAATACATGCACGCACGCACGCACGCCTGCAATTTTTTTCGAAAAACAGTGTGAAAATTGCAAAACTAAAAAATAGGCAAACATGGGCAAACGAATCATTCCTCTAAGGCTTAATGCAATTATCATATTCAATTTTGGTGATTGATCGGCAAACGTGCTCAAACAAAATGCTATTAATCTTATGGAATTAAACTATGAACATGTTTCTTTTGTCTGGAAGTTGGCTTGCGAAAATTCTTTTCGATATAGTTATTTTGAAAACAGGTTGGAAAAGTTATTTTATAAGCAATAAAGAGCCAACGATAATGTTTGCACCATTTTTGTAATGTTGTAGTGCCATGTTCATGAACCTATACATATGCCGTCCTCCACTAAAAGAA